TGTAGCTTAGGACAGTAGGACTGTGAATTCAATATGTTACCATACCCATTAATGCTGGACTGGTGTCCCAGACAGCTGAAGGTTGTGGTGGAAATTCCTATAATTTAGTGACCAGGAGTGTCAGATTTTAGTGCCATGGTGAGTGTGGTCATATTAGTCTGACTAAATGGGTCATAGAGGATTGAAAACACACTATAAATGCTTCTCTACAGAAGAGGAGGAAAACTATGTTGTTTCTTCATAAGAACACTCTGCCTCTTCAAAAGAACACCACCCATTTTAAATGTGCACATAGAACTATAGCAAATCAAAATATGTTTTTAGGCCCCAAGCAATTCTTGATGAATTTTACATGAATTTCAGTGATGCCAAAAGTTTCTTTAAAGTGTTTAGTATGCATGATTGCACCCATCTGATGAATAGAAATGAATTCTTTTATATTCAAATAAATATAAATCTCCAGTGAGACTCCACTGATTCAAAGCCCTTTGTAGGGTCCTCCTCACATAACATGTTCTGGGGAAACACAACAATCATATCTCAATATTTTTACCACTCAAAAGAAAAAGTTGGTACCCATAGGACTCTGGTCCAAAACCAATGTGCAGTTTTCCTGGACAGAATGTAGTTCAGGGACCTATTTCTGGGGGCCAAAGGAAGGAATGATTCTTTTCTTGAGTCCAGTTGTCCTGAGAATAAATATCTAGCCCTTCTGTTTCCTTCTCGCTCATTGTACCTTCTCACCTCCACTAGGAAGTATACCTTCCTCCTGAAATAATCAGCTTTCCCCAGCTTCTTTCCTCTTATGTGTTTTTATAGTTTCAATGATTATTGTAACTTAATCAGGTTAAGTGAGTTTTATGACAGAACTTTCTCCAAGTATAAACAATACAACAGTATATATATCTGAAAACAGAACTGAGCATGGGAGAATAACACTTCCATTCTTGTTCCCTACACCCAGCACTTTTAGCAATACAAGTTTGACTTTTTACATGTATTCCAGGGTCCTTGTGCATTTCAGTCCTCCATAGAATAAGAAGAGTAGTTTCACAGCCCTAATTCATTGTGTGATATTAAGGAATTTCACCAGAGTCATTTAAGGTAACTGGGCTCTTAGTTCAAAGAGCTTGAGGGCTATGCCCTTCAGTTTGAACTTCAAGTGCACACTCAAGTTATTTTGTAATGTTCAGTTTAGGACTCAAGGATGACTCCCAATCCCATTATTGAAGTCCATCCTGCAAATCGATCCTTCATTTTTGAAATCAGGACTATAGAAATATGGTCTTATATGAAAATTAAAATCACCTACAAAAGGATCACATTTATTATTTTGTGATGTGAACAAATTATAGGTGGAGGACATGAGGTGTCAGTTGACATGGTAACTCCACTGCAGACATCACTTTCTCTGCTAAATGTGCTCGCTGTGAATAAGAAGACCAGTCAGGTAGAAGTGGCCCAACAATGCAGGCATTTGACAATGGAGATTGTCTCCTTGTTTGAAAACCCACCCACAATTCTGGGATCTCTTTTCTTATTCACTCTATTTATTTTACCTTACTGTATGCTGCTTGAACTTCATACACTTACACTTGATTCTCAAGTACCTGACCACAGTCAACTCACACACAAATAGACTTCTGTTGACAACCTGTGACATTCTGGTTCTTTCAGTGAACCAAAGACCTAAAGAAACTCTTTTTGTTCACATTTACAGAGCAGTTAATTTTTCTCTTTGTTGTATGTATATTATCATTTCAAAGGAAGAAATGTTATGAAAATTGTATTAAATAAAAAAATGCATTTCTACATGAACCATGAATGATATTGTTTCCTATCCAAATTTTTAAAGAAAATTTTTGTAAAGATTTTATTTATTTATTATTAGATGGCAAGTAAGGGAGAAAGGGAGGAATAGAAACATCAATGTGTCCATGCATCTGGCATATCCTGTACTGGGGACCTTGCCCTCAATCAACATATGTACCCTGATTGGGATTACAAAAGGAGACTTTTTGATTCCCAGGCCAGAACTCAATCTGCTGAACTACACCAGCCAGGGCCTATCTAAGTTTGAAATGAACAGTCTTATGTCCTTCAGAAATTTTCTCATTGAGTAAAATTGTTCCTTAATTATTCTTACCTAATGAACATAACAAAGCATTAATTTTCCTTAAACTTGTATAAAATCATCCCATGAAATGTATACAGATAGTAGGTTACAAGCATTTTCAAAAGTATGTCCTACAATGGAACCTATATGGGCATTACCCAGAAAAAAAGATTTTGTAATACCATATCTGAAGAATGAAAATAATGGTCTTTCCGAACAAAGAAATCAGCAGTTTCAAAAGTAAACACTCAGAGTCTTATGGAAAACCCTGAATCCATTTGTAAATACTTGACTATTCATAAATTTAAAATCTTGTTCCATATTCTCCTTCTTCTGCCAGTCTGGAAATACTGGAAATGCAGCTTGAGGCTTGCCTTGTTTGATACAGGTTGAAGGTTCATACCTTTATAGGGCACTGCACCCCAGGCCCACCCTGGACACACCCTAACACCTCAAAACTCTCATCATTCTTTACTCTCTGAAGCCATGTGATTATCCATCTCTGGATGCCCACCGTGTTCTCACCAAAAAACTTTTTTTTTGTTTGTTTTATGTTACAGGGAGTCTTTTAACACTTTAGTGTCTGGGCTCATCACTTTCAATACACAAACCAAACACTGGATGTTTTTCCATTTCTAACAGTATGGTCACTTCAAGTGTAAATTAATACTAAAAAATTGTATCAAATGTATTAATTTCTACTTTATCAAACAAGTGTAGATTTCTATTGTGTATTGGTCACCACAGTAATTTTCCTGAGAGATCCAAGATCAAAACAAATATTTTATTATATATATTTTGTTAAGTGAAATAAGCCAGGCACTGAAACATAAATACCAGATGATCTAGAAGAGAAACATAATGAACAAAATGAACACACAAAGAAGCAAAATGGAACCAGAGGCATGGGAACAAGGAAAAGACTAAGAGAAACCCAAGGAAAGTGTGCAGAGATCTTATCTAATGGTTATGGCTGGTGAAAGGCCTGAGGTGGAAGGAAGACTGTGGCTCAGAGCAGCTGCCAGTAAGTCAGGTGAAGAAGGGACATTCAACTGTGACTCTGTGAGTTGTTGCCTGGTATGTGAAATTGCAGGAGAAGATTGTGGCAGTTCATGGATCCTATTACGAGAATATTCCACTAGGTACAATGGAATGTATCAATAAGGGGGAATTTTCCACATTATTTAATGTCAGAGGCCACCAAGAAAACAAACTGCTAATGCCGTAACTGCACTACATTACCAAACAACATTGTTATCTATATACCTGAGTAATGTTAGAGACGTTAAAATATTCCGTTATATTCACCTTTATTAATAATAATATAAGTTCACACAGCATGTAAATAAAAAAAATCACATTACAATTGTGTTACCATTTCTCAACACACACACTGAAAACATTTGGGGAGTGTTACTGTTCTTGTAAATTATCATCTCATACAGCAGTTTTCTTTGGTTTTCTAACTGGAGGCTAACTGTTGAGCAAACATGGACATACAACAATGTTATGCACTGACAGATGAACTGTCCATATTCCCTCAGATATCATGGATGACTTTTTATTCCAACCATATCAACTAGTATTTGACTATGACAACCATGAAGATACATTAGGATTTTAATAAATTGGCACTTTCTTAAAATTAGGTTTAGAAAATTATTTAAAATTTCTAACATTTCGGTGTCTTACTGTCACACAAAAAAGCATGACTTACATTGTAGCATACAACAAAATTCTGAGTCACCTTAAAACAGCAACTTCATTTAGATTTTTTGATACATTGTGCATTATAGTGTCCTGAGTCTTCTATGGAATGTAATTGTGAGTGATGCTCACCTAATATACGCAAGTTCATGGGTTGTTAAGGAACCAACACTCAACCCACTGACTTCACACACACACCAGGAATAAAAACAGCAGCATCAACTGCTAGGAGACTGGAATCAATTTAATATATCCTTGTCAAAATATTTCAAATGCTGTCAATGTATAGTAGTTTATATTCTGAGTAATTATACCTAACTAGACATGAATCCTCTTGACATTTTAAAGCACACTGAAAATCACTGATTAATATTTTTAAACTTTCTGTGATTCTCTGTAATAAATATTCTGATTTAGAGTGATATCTGAAAGCTATAATTAAATCTCTACTCTGAATTATGATATTTTGAAAGTCTTTTTCAATTTCATACTTTTCTGAATTTTTACACTTTTTAAGTCACTTTCAGTTATAAGTTCTTTGGGATTATGGGAACTGTGTAATTTTACAAAAGTCTTTCATTCTTTATGAATGTAGAATCCCACCCCACTATGCATTACAATACATAATGAGGCTGAAGATCCATGTATATGATTTTCTACAATTTCCCTTTCAATGTTTTCTTTTTTTATGGTGTGAAATCTCATATGCCACATAAGCAGTGAATGTTGAAATAAAACCTTTAATATGGTGAGTATTCTTTAATTATAGGTTAGAATCTTGCCATAATTTCTACATTTGTACAGTTTTTCTCCAGATGGATCTCTCTCATATTGGGTAATGCAGCTCTGATCACTAAAATACTTGTTTTACACACTGCTTTTATATGGTTTCTCTCCACTACGAGTGACCTGATGTCAGAAAGTGTTGCCACAGAGTCCACATTTACAAGCCTGTGTACAGCAGGAATTCTCTGATGATAAGTAAGGGTTGGAAGAGGTTAAAAGCTTTATTCCATTATGTACAATTAAAAGACTTTGCTACAGTATAAATATATTTTATGATGCATGAGTATTGAGGACTGGTTAAATTTTTTTTTATCACATTAGGTATATAAGTAAGGCATTTCTTCTGTGTGAATTATTTGATGATGAGAAAGGTTTGAGGACTATAAAATACTCAACACTTACAAGGTTTCTCCCCTACATGAATTTTCTGATGCTGAGAAAGGTTACAGGACAGTTTAAAGGCTTTGGCACACATTTCACATATATAAGGCTTTTATCTAGTATGAGTTTTCTGATGTCCAGTAAGTGCTGACTGGAGCCTAAAGGCTTCCCCACATTGAATACATTCATGAGGCTTCTGTCCAGGGTGAATTTTCAGATGTCCAGTGAGATGTGAGGCCTGTCTAAAGGCTTTACCACATTGAGTACATTCATAAGGCTTCTCTCCAGTATGAATTCTCTGATGTTTAGTAAGTGTTGATAGGACCCTAAATGCGTTACCACATTGTGTACATTTATAAGGCTTCTCTCCAGTATGAATTTTCTGATGTTGAGTAAGTGTTCTCTGGTGTCTAAAGGCTTTCCCACACTGTCTACATTCATAGGGCTTCTCTCCAGTATGAATTTTCTGATGTTGACTAAGTGTTCCCTGTTGTCTAAAGTTTTTCCCACATTGTGTACATTCATAAGGCTTCTCTCCAGTATGAATTTTCTCATGTTGAGTGAGGTGTGCAGTCTGGCTAAAGGTTTTGCCACATTGTGTACATTCATAAGGCTTCTCTCCAGTATGAATTCTCTGATGTTTAGTAAGTGTTGATAGGACCCTAAATGCGTTACCACATTGTGTACATTTATAAGGCTTCTCTCCAGTATGAATTCTCTGATGTTTAGTAAGTGTTGATAGGACCCTAAATGCGTTACCACATTGTGTACATTTATAAGGCTTCTCTCCAGTATGAATTCTCTGATGTTGAGTAAGTGTTCTCTGGTGTCTAAAGGCTTTCCCACACTGTCTACATTCATAGGGCTTCTCTCCAGTATGAATTTTCTGATGTCGAGTCAGGTGTGCAGTCTGGCTAAAGGTTTTGCCACACTGTCTACATTCATAGGGCTTCTCTCCAGTATGAATTTTCTGATGTTGACTAAGTGTTCCTTGTTGTCTAAAGTTTTTCCCACATTGTATACATTCATAAGGCTTCTCTCCAGTATGAATTTTCTGATGCTGAGTAAGGGTTGAAGTCCGGCTAAAGGTTTTTCCACATTGTGTACAGTCATAAGGCTTCTCTCCAGTATGAATTTTCTGATGTTGACTAAGTGTTCCTTGTTGTCTAAAGTTTTTCCCACATTGTATACATTCATAAGGCTTCTCTCCAGTATGAATTTTCTGATGCTGAGTAAGGGTTGAAGTCCGGCTAAAGGTTTTTCCACATTGTGTACAGTCATAAGGCTTCTCTCCAGTATGAATTTTCTGATGCTGAGTAAGGGTTGAAGTCCGGCTAAAGGTTTTTCCACATTGTGTACAGTCATAAGGCTTCTCTCCAGTATGAATTTTCTCATGTTGAGTGAGGTGTGCAGTCTGGCTAAAGGTTTTGCCACACTGTCTACATTCATAGGGCTTCTCTCCAGTATGAATTTTCTGATGTTTATTAAGTGTTCCCTGTTGTCTAAAGTTTTTCCCACATTGTATACATTCATAAGGCTTCTCTCCAGTATGAATTCTCTGATGCTGAGTAAGGGTTGAAGTCCGGCTAAAGGTTTTTCCACATTGTGTACAGTCATAAGGCTTCTCTCCAGTATGAATTTTTTGATGTTGTGTCAGGTGTGCAGTCCGGCTAACGGTTTTGCCACATTGTGTACATTCATAAGGTTTCTCTCCAGTGTGAATTGTCTGATGTCCAGTAAGGTTTGAAGACTGTGTTAATGCTTTGCCATATTGTATACATTTATAAGGTTTCCCTGCAGTATGAACTCTCTGAGGACAAGTAAAGGTTGAGGATGACCTAAAGGCTTTTCCACATTCTCTACACTCATAATGCTTTTCTCCAGTATGAATTCTGTGATCTTGTGCAAGACTGCAGGACTCTGTAAAGGCGCTGGCTCCTTCACTACATTGGAGAATTTTCTTTCCTGTATGAATTCTCTGATATTCATTGAAATCTGAAGATTGGTTAAAAGCTTTAGAACATTCTCTGTATTTACCAGGCCAGTATCCAGTCTGAAATCTCTGATGATGAGTAAAGGCTGAGGTACTCCAAAATTCTTTGCCACATTCTTTACACATATCAGCCTTTTGTCCAGGATACATTTTTTTCTGTAGATTTACACCTGAAAAACAATGGCCTGTTTTACCACAGTTTTTACACTTGTGTTCTTCTCTGGTACCTATTCTGTTAAGTGTATTTAGATTAGGTATTTGATTGAAGAATTTCATGCATGGTAAATATTGGTAATCTTTCCCCCCAACAGCAATATTTGTTTCTTCAGTGCATTGTAAAGATTCTTTTAAACATGAGATATATTTAATTTGCTTGGTTTTCAGCTTCAGAATAGGAAAATCCTGATGGGTATTGTGATTTGACATTTCATCAAAGACTTGGCCACCTTCATAATGGCTATGTGGAAGCTGAGTCTTCTGATGTCCTTTAGGATTTGACTCGTGGATAGAATTCTTCCAATTTGCATTGCATTGTCTACTTCTGTCTGAGTCCCATGTATTCTAGTAAACATGGAACACAGAAAGGCATTTTGTGACATCTGTAACTTCATTAAACATGTGCACTTATTCCCAAATAAGCCTTTTGTGATCCCTATTAAAACACATGGGCTATTTTAAAAATCTCTCCCAAGTTCATTAAAATAGTATATAGTGAAGTAAAAGAAAACATTATTTCTAAATGAAGCATAATTCTTTAGGAAAGACATTATCACATTGAACATATTTAATCTTTATGCATGCATTTTAAATGGCAACATTATAAAGATTATTGACTGAAAACTTATTCTCCCTCTACCTTTTAAATAATTCAAATGATTGCACACACCAAAAATTCTTAGATTTCCTACATTTTGCAGACTGACTTTAGGACAGGGGTGTAAAACTCACTTTCCCAGGGGTCACATAATCCTCTAGGTTGCCTTCAATGGGCCACGTGTAATTTTAGGATCGTGTAAATGTAACCATTCCTTCACTAGGCACAAGGAGATTGACACTGCCACTGGGTTTAAACAATGTGCTGGCTGGATAAAAGAAGGTGGAGGGCCACATTTGGCCTGGAGGTCCTGTGTTTGCCACTTGCCCTTTACAAGAATACATACTTTTAAAACGTTATTTTAAGTCTTCTTATTTGCAAACACATTGATCTGTAAATGTAACTGATTTAAATTGGAAGTTTTCCCAAATTTGTAATATTTCTCATGTCTTTAGATAACAAGGATTTTTCATGAATGATTTTTCAAACTTAGGTCTCTCCATTTAAACATCTTTTCTATCTTGTCACACACTCCTTTATCAGTATCAAAGGCACACCTCTCATATCTTACCAGTGTTGCTTCAAAGGATACATCTTCTCTTCCTGACCTTTGCAAGAAGTCCTGGTTGTCTGCAGATGACACAGCTGAAAGACACAAAAGAAAGGTTCACAGATGTGAAACACAGGTAAATGTACATTGAACTTATAAGGAATTTTTAAACAAATCACAGTGTTGAGTACTTTACATGTTTGCAGCAAGACCAAGTATGGTACAATGAGAAAAAGTCACATAGAAAAAGAACAACAGTTGCTTACACTCAGCAACCACTGAGCTCACATTTCCTGGCACACAATGGAAATAGGATAAGAAAACTCCACTTTCCCAGTTCTTTTCTAGACACATAGAGGGTCAAGTGTGTTCAATGATTTCACTGTTTTCAAGCATCTTCAAAATACGTGGTTCTGTTTTTCAGGACACACAATGCTCACACCATAACAGCACACAGTGAATACATTAAAGTGCACACTGAAAAGGAAGGGTAATACTTGAAATACCACAGAAACTAGCAGACTGAAGATAAATATCAAGCATAAAAAGATACCACCCTGGCTGGTGTAGCTTAGTGGATTGAGTGTGGGATGTGAACCAAAGTGTCACAGGTTCAATTCCCAGACAGGGTACATTCTTTGGTTGTAGGACATGACCACCAGCAACCACACATTGATGTTTTTCTCTCTCTCTTTCTCCCTCCTTTCCCTCTCTAAAAAATAAATAAATGAAATCTTAAAACATATATATCCCGGGCTTTGAGAAATAAACTGACACTATATTAAACTTGCACATCTCACACACTCAAAATCAAACACACACCACTTGTGTTTACCAAAATTAGAGTTTAAACTATGGGTGAGTGTTATTTTTTTTCCCTTTAACCTGGAGAAGGCAAGTTCATAAAGCCTACTTGTTTACATTTCTGAAATTCAACAAATATATCAAGACAGGAAACAGGAAACCAATTCAAATCAGAAAATTAAAATATATCTACAAAAACTGGCACTATGTGTATTCAAATGTATTATCTACTGGATAAAGAATTGAAAATACCCACCTGAATATAGAAACATAGAACTATATCACAACTACTTAAGAGCAGAAAATCTATAAATGACCAAAATGAAATTCAAAACACAGAAAATGTCAAAGTAAGCCAAAGAGAGAATGGGGAGCTGAAAAACAGAATACTCAAATTGAAAAATACATTAAAATATAGAAACATCAAGCAGTTGTCTGTTTATGTCTCCAGCCAGGTAACAGGCCCACAACCCAGGCATATTCCTTTTCCCAGAAGTAAACAAGAGGCCTTAGCTTTAAGGGATTTTGCTCCACAAACTGAGGCACTAGGGCCAGGGAAAAAACTAATAGCTCTTAATTCACTAAAAGACGAGTTTGTAGATTTTTTTTTATTATAACACCCAAAGGAAATGTAAAACAGCAAAAGTAAACAAATGACATTACACAAAATATAAAAACTCCTGCATATTAAAGCAAACAAGCAGTAGGATAAAAGCACATCCTGAAGAAAGAACAAAATTTCTGCAAAGTGCACCTGATAGGTAGGTAATATCCAGGTTATGTGAAGGACTTTTACAAAACATCATGATAAAACAAGTAACCCAAGTTCTAAAATGAACAAATATATGGCATTAAATAATTTACTTTAAAAAATCAGGAATATACAATGAGATCAGACAGATTCTACCAAAAATGCTCGGAGAGAAACTGAACCAATACACACAAAACTTTATGAGTACACCACTTTGTTATGACATGTACCAAAATAAACTTCAAGTGGATTAAAACCTAAATTTAAGACCTGAAACCATGAAAACACTAGAAGAAAGGACAGCTGACAAACTCTTTTATGACTCTTAAAAAATATTCTTTTAGATATAACATGGAGGGTAGAGCAGACAGGAGAAACAACTAAATAAGGCTACAATAAAATAAGTTTTTGCAGAACAATGAAATCATCAAGAAAGCAAACCAATCTAGTGAATAGTGGAAGATACTCACAAATAATGCTAAATATTCAAAGGATACAAGGAACTTACACAACACACACACACACACACACACACACACACACACACACACACACACAACAATCGGATGGAAAAACAGGGAGCAGTGGCTTGTGTGCTCATTGGATCAGTTCCTGGTGCCCCTGAACCAAAGGATCGCTAGTTGGATTCCCAGTAAGGGCACATGCCTACAGTGCGGGCCAGGTTCAGTTTTCATATTACACGTCTGTATACCTGCTGAACGGACCTTGTTCCACCAAAAAAATTCTCTCTCAACATGTCACCTTCAAGCGATTAGTCATGACGTGTTTATGATAATAACGGGGAAAAAAAACGGACTGCAAATATAAGTTCCATGTTACTGAACACTTACAAAAACTTAATTTTGTGCACTGAATACTGTTTTTTTTTTGTAAAGATTCTATTTATTTTTATAGAGGGGAAGGGATCAAGAAAGAGAGGGAGAGAAACATACAAGTGCGGTTGCCTCTTGTGCGCCCCCTACTGAGGGTCTGGTTTACAACTTAGACATTTGCCCCAGACTGGAAATGCAACCGGCAACTCTTTGGTTTGCAGGCTGGTGGTCCACGCACTGAGGCACGGAAGCTCAGGAGACCAAATACTTTTCAAGGGAAATTGTAAATGAAATTTGTTTCTCAAATTCATAGTATTAACATTTAAACTGATGTCTCAAATGAAGCATTAAGAAAAAAAAAGGAAAAAGCAAGCATCATCATGAGGGAAAAGGAGAACCCATGAGCTGAGAAAAAAATATATATTTGTAAGCCCTGAGTGGTGTGGTTCAGTGGACTGGGCACCTGCATTTGAACCAATAGGTCAGCAGTTTGATTTTTGATAAGGGCACAGGCCTGGGTTTGGCTCCAGATCCCCATTTGGTGGTGTGTGAGAGGCAAGCGATCAACGTGTTGTTTAGGCATTGATGTTTCTCTCTCTTTCTCCCTTATCCCTCTCTAGAAATAGATAAATAAAATATTTTTAAAATATATGGATAAAAAGATGGTGTCTAAAAGACTCTCAATATCTTATGTCTGTTAGTAAGTGGACATTAAAAGAAGGAAAACTGAAGAAAGTGCACATTCAAGCAACATGAAACCCCTGCTGGAAAAGTCAGAATCCAGAACACTTAGAAAAGCAAATGCTGCTGTGCATGTGGAGCAAACAGAACTCTCATTACTTCTTAGTGAAAACTCAATATGCTACAGTCACTTGGGAAGAGTTTAGAAGTCCTCACACAACTAAATATACACTTATTATATAATCCAAAAAAATGTGGTCTATAGTATTGAACCAAGGAGTTAGAAATTTTATCTACATGAGAGCCTACATGGGGATATTTTTAGAAGTATCATTCATAAATTACAAAAATTCAAAACAATGAAGATATATGTGAACAGGTGAATAGAAAAGGAAACTGAAATATATACAATGAAATATTATTTAACACTAAAAATGATATATCAAGGCATGGAATAAATGTAAATTAATAGAATTAAGTGAATTTATTCCATCTGACCACCTGCTCAGTTGGTTAGAGTGCCATCTAGATACACAAGGTCACAGGTTATATGTCACCCCAAAATATTCAATTGAAGATTTGAAAGAGACATTTGCATATATGTGTCAATGGTAGCATTAAATACAATAGCCCGGTAGGTGGAAACAACCACATGTCAATGGATAAATTAAAAATGTAGTGTATTCAGCGCCA